GGGTTGTTTTGGGATCCCTCCCGTTCCCAAGTAGCACACTCAAGGTGAATTAACGTTTACTCAACGTTATTACATTATTAACTCAACGTTGTCATGGTACCAACCCAGTCAGATGCATTCCGCTATTTTCTTGCCTGATCAGTAGTGCCCAGTGCCAGGTACAAGGTTACCAGCTAAAAACCTAATACTTTTCGTGATCTACAAGGCAACATACTGTACAGTATTTCTTTTGAATGGAATACTTTTTTCGAAAACACCCCAGGGGTGAGAAAAAAGGAATAAAATTCACATTGTCAAAAAACGAGAATCAGTGGTCTCCACAACCCCGAAGCTTCAAATTTTCTGGAACGATTCTGCGTTGTGAGGGGAAGAAGCATGTCCAATTTCGTTCCTCGAGACGCTCTCAGAGGGGAATACGTGGAGTTTGAATTTTTTGATGGGAAGGGGTGTCATTCCACACGCTTTCAAATAATTTGTTGATTTTAACCATTATACGATGATTTTCGCTCTCATTTGGCTGGGCTTGTCGGTATGCTGATTTTCTTTGGATTACACGGGTTGCTCACCAATTTACCCTTAGGGACGTCAAGGGTGAGCGATATTTTGGCTCAAATAATGTGAAAAAAGAAATTTTTACGGAAATTGTCGACATGGGTCTTTCGCCCTTTTGAAATGGATATGAAAATATGCGCTCCTGGGCAGACTTCCTCGTTCTGTGTTGCCGTAACCCCAAATCAAAGGAAGGGAATTTGTTTAGTTATGATTATGGCAAATGGTGTGATTTTCGTGAGCACCAGGAATTTATTCTCACCTCACCACTTCGACGAAAGAAGCAACTTCTTCCATTTCCTCATTTTCTTGTTCTTGCTGAGAAACTCAAAATGTATTAAGCGAATAAGTAACCGCTCAAACGTAAGTAACAGCTGCGTACTCGTAAATATTCGGGTTACTTCATGGCTGACTTGCAATTTCGATTGGATAATCTCGGCGAAAGATGACACAATACCGGGTTGTTTTGGGATCCCTCCCGTTCCCAAGTAGCACACTCAAGGTGAATTAACGTTGACTCAACGTTATTACATTATTAACTCAACGTTGTCATGGTACCAACCCAGTCAGATGCATTCCGCTATTTTCTTGCCTGATCAGTAGTGCCCAGTGCCAGGTACAAGGTTACCAGCTAAAAACCTAATACTCAACGTTATTACATTATTAACTCAACGTTGTCATGGTACCAACCCAGTCAGATGCATTCCGCTATTTTCTTGCCTGATCAGTAGTGCCCAGTGCCAGGTACAAGGTTACCAGCTAAAAACCTAAAGCCTTCTTCATTAATGGTTTCTTTGGTCTCAGTTTCCAAGTCAAGATCACCCTTTAGCCCTAAAGTTGGAATGACTCCTTCAGAGCTTGAATATTCACCTCGTAGAGCTTCAATCAAGCCTGTGATGCAGATGTTCTCGATATTAGTGTCATCCTCCCATCTCAGTTCATATCTCAGGAAAGCGAGCAGTACTTCTAGACTCCCGTTAAGGGGGCACAGTCCATCCAGGAAAAATGAACGATGCTTTACTATAGTCGTAGAAGTACTACAACCTACTCCTTTGTTACCTCTATGAGCAGGAGTAGGCAGACAGAAATCTAATACGATAGATCGCCTCTGTATGTAGAGGTTGATCATAAAATATTTCCGGTACTAAATGCGAGAAAGGAAACTTCAACAGAGACGAAAGTTCAGCCAAGGAGATTGTATACCAGTGACGTGATCGCCTTTAGAGCCCCCTCCCCTATGTTGAGATGTAGCCGGATGTAACTCAACCTTATTTTCGTCTAAACTAGTCGGCTTGCCTCCGGCCATAGCGTCTTTTCGGCACGATTCCCTGAGGGCAAACGAGGAGCATAACAAAGCGGCAAACGACCTAGAGAACGAACTGAGCACCAACCAACTTCAAGTGGCTGGCAAACTCCAGGTACGAGCGAACCTGAAAACCAAACGCGTTGCAAAATGGGGTGAGGTAGGAAGCCCCTCGAGACGAGTTGGCTAGGGTAATCGGCGAAAATTTTTCAGATCGCCTCACTAGATATCTGATGTAGAGACCGAGTGGGATCTAATTCGATCTGGTGTTTCGGCTGCAGCGATGAAAGTAAGTGGCGAAAAGCGAATCGAATCGGCTGAAACAGTCGGTACTCCTGTCGACTCCGATTGACTCACCCTTGGGTGCTCGCTCTAGACCGTCAGAGCATAAAATTGCTTTTGGTTTCTTGCATATTTCATGAGCCCTTGATTCGATTTGACTTATTGCCCTCTAATCGAACTTCCTGCTGCCGTCAACCCTCAATCTGCATAGCATTCGAGACTCTTCATCAGTCATTCTCCGGCACATCGGTACTTTATGAGGCTCCTAAAAGGTCAATATTTCTGGGAATATACTTGGACCCAATTGAAGGACGAAATCGAGAAATTCCAGTATCTCCCTCCAAGTTGTCGGAGGGAAAAGATCTGGTATCTCATTACAATGATTGGGAAGTGAGTCACCTCCTGACACCGCCGAAATAGCGACTACCGAGGTGCCATCTCGTGTCACTTGTCTGAAACTTAATTTTTCGATTTTCCGTCATGCTTAGCCTGCCAACATATTAAAAATTTGTTTGCTGCCGCTCTAGCACCGAAGTGTCACATGGGCAACCCATTACGCTGCTACTTCATGATAGTCCACACGCAGAAAATACCACACGCCCAGCGAGGCGTGCTGCCTGGATATTTTCGTAGAATGCGTAGATGAATTAACAAATAAGTTTTATCAGTAAAGTTCTAATATCCAGCAGAAATGGAATTTGTTAATTTTTTTACGTCATCTGTTCTCATTTGAAACGGTCCCAAAATGTCAGTCCTTGCTTCCGGCGCAACGCCGTCGTCTAAAAATGACAAGTCTCAGGCTTTCATTGGGAGGCCAACATCTTATCATGTTGACCCTTCAGGAGAATCCCAAGATAAGCCACTCGACCTGAAGGACCCCCTGCGACCAGAAGGACTTCCCCAAATCACATCCCACAGAAGCTTGTGAGATAATTCAGCTCGTTGGAAGGCAAATGAAGAGCACTGCTTCCGTGGGGCACAATATGGCTTTCAGAGCCTTCTTCCTCTCCCTGCTCCCTCTGCTCTTCAGCGTCAGTGAGTCTCGTGGGACTTCTGATTCCGCCTCTCGTACATACGTCCAACGTTTTGTTGAATGATTCTCAATACAGCTTCTCTTCGATTTTAGGCCGGGAGGCTTACATTTGGAGTATTATAACTAAAAACGTTTATTTTAATCCGCTGTGATTTGAACAGTTCTCAGGGAAAACCTATAACAGGAGAAATAATTCAAGAGCAATGGGCAGAAGAGACAAGTCATGCGAGGTTTTGATGGATTCGCTTCCTCAGCTTAAAAAGCCAGTCTTTTCCCAAATGACTTAATGACATCATAAAGAACATAGATTCTAAAGGCATCTCGTTACTACGCCAAGGAATAACGTCGAACCAATTTTTTTTATCTTGAGGCTCCTCATAACATCAAGGGATAAATACTAACTTTCCTTTCATTTTGCTTAGATTTGGCGATTCACATGACTCAGTATCGAATTCATCGGCAAAAAAAGGCTTAAAGAAGGCAACTGCTGTGAAACGATTGAAAGTGAAGGAAGGGCAAAACAGCCATGTGATTTCTCATTAAGCAGACGTGATATCCATGCATTCCCTTTGATTCTTTTATGAGGAGAGAACTAGAGGGTCCCATGGACGACGATGGCCGTGTAACGGGGAATTTCTGTGTCCATCAATCCTGAACTTTTCTCATATGATGGTTTTCATTCCTTTTTCCATATTTTTCCTTGTTAGACAAGTGTGGTTGGAATTGGACTACAATAACGTTTAAAAATTGGAAGGCACTGCGGTATATGACTTTGCGCAGGCTCGGGAGCGACACGAATTCCACCATTTTGTGATTCACTCCAGGAAGGATGCACGCATAATATCACATGGACCGATGGAATCCTGGAACCATGCATTGATGACAACGGACTAGTGCCGGTAGGCCAGGTCTGCTACAGAAACTTTATTTCACTGAGGTGAAGCATGTGACTTTTATCTGTCCCCAAAAATCAAGAGGCAGTTCTTATAAGTGACAAGCCAATCTTGGCAAATATCCTGTGGATATTTTCTTCTGAAATGTGCTCTTCTGGGTGCACCAAAACTGAAGATCATTGTTTTCATTCTGGATCATAGTTATGCATTCCGGTTTTTTCAGTTGTCACAATTTCAGAAACAGTTTTAGACTGTTCTGATTTATCCTTTCAAAGAATGAAACGACACGAACCAAAACTAGCCACTTTCTGGGCCTCTGTCATTTTTTGGGGTACCCAATGGCAGAAGAGGTCCCACAGCCCCAGCTGATCATCAATGTTGACATTTACTGCGGCCGATCCAACGATGAGTGTCTTGACGCTTTCGGCAGGATTGGCGAGAACCAGCTATCACCCGTTTCTTTGCATGGTCATCATTCGCTGGGGTCAATGTTTCTCCTAGACTTGCATCAAGTGTTTCATCAAGAACTGAAGGTCCCCGACGGAATTCACAAAAACAAATTCGACAGTGGAATATGGTGCAAAGGATTCCCCAGATCACCACGGAGACAACCTTGCGAATGCTTCCAGATAAAAACATTTAAAGAAAAAATAGATAATGATACGAAAATACTCTCAAAAGTCAGTTCCACTAACACTTATTTAAAAAATTCTAGCTCACACACTGTTTCTTTTCAATAAATGACTGGAATCACTTAGAAGTTGACCTACGAAGAGAATTTTTGTTGCATTGACACCAACTGCAAAAACTATCACAAAAATACGTAACCAGAGGGACAACAAACTTACAGTGCAACCCTCGTATGGGTCAAGGACTTCTCTCGTTCGAAAAAAAATTATGAAGAAATAAGAAAGCAATAGTACTGAACATGCCGCTTACTATGGTTGTTGGTTTTTGTTATCATCAAATAATGTTATTGAATCTCGAAACGGTAACCAAATCCCATATTCATTTTTATGTTTTACAGGCTTCCCCTTTGATGGTATCGCCATCGCAGGATAAGATGATCTACATTAGTCCATCTGGAGTGTAATATGTGTATGATTGAGATTTCCAAAATTTAACAAAATCGATGGCTTAGTAAATGCAACCCGCACCAATATCAATTCCGAGGACCATATACCATTATTTATTTCCTCCAATAAACCCGATAAAATAATAGGAAATACTGCATTTTTCCGTTGTTATTGAGAGCGGCATATTGTTATCAGCTGCATAATGTTGTGGAATTCCTTATAGAAATTTGTGATCATAATCAGCGACTCCTACAGCATTCCTGGTGATTTTCAACTTGTAGCAATGCCTGTGGAATGTTTTCGGGAGCAGTCCGGCTAGCACGATCGAGATTCTCTTGACTCCAGAGGATTTCGGGAATTTCTCAAATAGATCATTGCTTTTGAGGATTGGCTACGGCTACAAGGATGACAACCCAGCGGGAAATGAGGAAACAGTCTTGGCTACATTTGACTACCCTGTCCCAGAGAACACAATGGTGATCGTTGAGGGCGGAGAAGCTTGGGTAGACATGCTCGCCCGACAAGAAATAGGCCCCTTTCGAATATTCTCTACTATTAAAAACGAAGGTATATTTTCCTCTCTCTCCCTCTCTAGTCACCCTTTTGGTTCATTCCCAAGATTAACCCTTGTTGTAAGGATTGTTGTGCAATACAGGCGCCAAGCTTTCCTGTTGACTTAAAACTCTCTCTATTCACTTTCGATTACACATACTTTATTCCCATCTGCATCTCCTCTGATTTCCTGAGTTTTTATTTATACAATTTAATACCGTGTGGCCCAAAAAGTCAGTTGCCAAATGTAAATTAGTGGAGACGATCAAAATGCTGTCTCTGAACTGCAACCTTCTTATGGTTGGTATGGTACGAAAACCTACTACTTTGGGAATTATTTTGCTAAAAACCAGCTTACTTCTTGACAGAGAAAATCCTTGGTGGCCTTGGGAACGATTGCAAGAAGGACAACGAATGCAACGGATATGGAAATCTGAAGTGCGACAATGAAATTCGTGACGTCATGTGACGTCATGAACATTTTATATTGATACCACCTCCCATAAAGCCATGGGTCATGCAAAATTCGTCCATGAACAGTACAGTTGTTCAGAGATGGGAATGAGACTAAAAACGGTCGTTCTTTGGATATACATAGGATGCTTATAATGCTTAGATGCAGAAAGAGGTGCGCTGGAAGGGGCTGAATGTGGCTTAAACCCTTTCATTCCAAATCAGAATTATATCTCATTAAGAAGATATGATGTATCGCCATTGTTTATCCTAACTTTTGCCATTTTTGGTTCAGGTGCGTCTCACAGATTTTGCAAATTTTATGCTCTCAAACGGACTGTCTTTTTTACCACGATTAAGCTTTCCAGCAGCAAGACACAGTAGCATTCGATAACATTTACTTGCAAGCAAAATGTAAAACTGCCTCTTCCATCTACGTCTGGAATACTTTCGGCATACTTTTAAACTGAAATCAATTTTTGTTCATGCTTTTTCCTAGGTTTCGCTTCAACAACTTGTCCACACGGTCCCTAACACGGTAGATACTAAAATAGCTCTTACACTATAATACATCTTTCCTGCTCCAGTTGTTCACAAGTAAGCAATTTTCACCATCACCGAACCTACAAATGCATAACGTTTCAATTAATGAGATTCGAAAGGGACGAAAAAATCTTTATAGGAGATTCTGTATTCTCACTGAACATCTTGATGGATGGTAGGAAAAAAAAAGTTGAGGCAAAAGACAGTAAAAAAGCAGAGGGGAAGATTTGCCCCCGTAGCCATTGCTTTTAAACCCTCTTCACCGTGTTCCATACTTTTACCATCCGCAGCATTTACGACAACGACGACGACGTCCAACCCGTGTGATGGAGCTATTGGAGATCCTTGCCAGGAACATAGGAATTGCCGTGCAGACGAACACCTTTTCTGCAATCCTTCCCTTCTCAAGTGTGACTGTTCCGACGGATACATTTTTGACACAGACATCCTCATGTGCGGTACGGATTCCTTGCCCTAACCAAAATTTGAAAAAAATTGTGGTCTTAGAAATCTAAAACCTACTACAGTAGCGGAAAATTCGGTACTTCATGAAGTTAGTGACGTATATTCATGACTGCCATTCTGAGATGATCCATTCACAGTGACTGGAGGGAAAAGATTGGGCGAATCGTGCTCTGACGATAGCGATTGCAACCTCCACAACCAGTGCGACAAGGAAACAAAAATTTGCACGTGTGCAAAGGACTATCGGCTGGATCCGAAGACCATCCTTTGTGGTAAGTGCAAACATACTCTACACTACTTATTGGAATGCCTTTGATTCAAAGCATCACGTTGATTAGAGGAAAAAATGCCTGGTGGAAGGGGGATTGACTGCAAGAAGGACGAGGAATGCAACGTTGAAGAAAATCTGAAGTGTGACGATAAACTCCAGAAATGCAATTGTATGGATGAGTTTTTCCTCCATCCTGAAATGCTGGTATGTGTTCGATGAGCTTTTCCATTTCTTTCCGTTTGTATGATATTTCATGAGCATGATGAATAAATTTTCGCTCGAAAATCCTTCTTAATGACAGCGTTTTTTTTTACATAAGAAACATGTATATATGAGGATCATTTCTATATCTTCGTGCTAAATGTTGGCATCAGCTATGGTGACTGTTGGAGTGCGTCGAATAAATGCTTACAAGAGAAGGATTTCTGAATATTTAGAAAGACATATATATTTTCCTGAAACGTTGTGGACTATCGAAACCTCGCCGAAGGGAGGTGATTGGTAGGCCAACATGAATCCTACCCCATGACTCGCACGAACAGATTTTGGAAGTTTTCCATTAAAGACGGCGATTTCTCATGGAGTTATTTATGCATAAAAACGTGTACTTTCTTCTCTTTGTTTCAAGTGCCAGAATTACCCTGAGTCACATTGGGTTGGGTGGCCACTTTCGTCGAAAGTATCCAGTAATTCAAAAATATTTCCCGGTATCGTCTGTAGTGAAAATATCAAGTACCGTTCCAAATGTACCTGGGAACCTTGCTGCTTGCATATAAGAGGTAATTCAATGTGTTGACAATTTTTCGCCAAACCTTCGTTGAAAAACATTGGCAGATTTCTCACCTGAAAGAAAGTTGAAGTAATGATGACTGGACAATGTCTTCGAAATGCTTGTTTTCAAAATAGCGTCATAGCTGACAATGCATTTCACAATCAGCATCAACAGAATCAATAACATGTCAACGATGAGTCGATTTCGCTGTGCAGATTGGGAAAGGACGAACGCCAGATAGAAAGGGAAATCCTACGCAGAAAAGGAAGATGCAATGCGATATCGTGTGAACATGAATTGCAACACTTTATAGTGCATACTGCGCATGCATTTTGTAGAGCAAACGTTTCCATGTTCATGGACTCCAAGAAAGTCTCGATGTCGTTGCCTTTTTAACCGAAAAGTGCCATTTTTTTGCCGAAATCCATCCTCAGTGAACAACATGGCCACAAAGTTACAATATTTTACGTTTGACTTTTGATGTTTGCCCTCTGCTGATGAAAAAAACACGTTTGGAAAGCCGACCCACCAAAAAGCTATGCCCGGAGGGAATGCGCCATAAAAGCTGAATACTCCCTCAACTCAATAATATTATGTCACTCATACGTGTGCCAAGTTTCACCTTTCCATTTCTGTATAATTCGCCAAACAATTTTTCATTTAAAACATCGCCACCGAAAAAATTCCCCTAGGGAATGTATGGAGACTAAACATTTTTATTTAACTCCTTGTCTCAGTAGTCACGTTCATCCAGAGTTTCCGCTTTCCATGTTCATCAGATTAACTGATGCAAAAAATTAGTTGAAAAAATCTCCCTTTGAAATTTGTGCCCCCATGGCATTTACTTCTAAAGTCTGAATTTTTCTGCAGCATCCCAATAGGTAGTTGCGTACCAAGTTTCATCTTTCTACACTAGCTCAATACGCCAGGACAAAAAAATACCTGGAAACGTCCCCCCAAAGAAATATCCCCCAGGGCATGGATATAAAATTTCACTCAATTTTTCCTGAACTCATCGTCTCGGAATGTACCTCTATGTCGGGCTTCAGCTTTCCATGTCTCTCCGTTTTACTCAATCAAAAATAATGGCATTTAGGGGGAATGGGACCTGGAAGGCGAAAGAAGCCAAAGCACAGCCAAGGAAAGGCCGGGAATTGAACCCGGACCTGATGATTGCTCGTCAAATATGCTACTACTACACCACCGAACCCAGGACAAACAGTTGGCTCTCTGAATGCCATCCTCATCTGTCACTATACTGTATATATATAAGAAAACCCTTTCCCCTCAAAATGTGTACCCCCAGGGCATTTACCTCAAAATTCGAATTTTTTCTGAACTCTACGTCCCAGAAGGTACGTCATGTGTACCAAGTTTCCGATTTCTAACCTTTTTAGAACATGGTTAGAATTGGCGTCAGTCAGTCAGTCACGATCGTCTATATATATTAGGTGGTGTTCCGGACTTAGAAGTTGTTGTTTGGTATCACAATATTCTGAAGTGGGGAATGGAAGACAAAAGGACGTTCCATTCACTCCATGGCGTGCTTCATGTACATTATCCTGATAACGAGAGTGAGCGAGAGAGGGAGAGAAGTAAATAAAGATTGAGAAGGAGGATGAAAGAGGCTGAGGAGGAGGAAACAGGTTCCACAACCCCAGATGATCATCAATGTTTACATTTACTGAAGCCGATCCAACGTTGAGTGTCTTGACGCTTTCGGTAGGATTGACGAGGACCAGCTATCACCCGTTTCTTTGCATGGTCATCATTCGCTTGGGTCATTGTTTCTCCTAGACATTGCATCTAGTGTTTCATCAAGAACTGAAGTCCCCCCGACGGAATTCGCAAAAACCAAATTTGACAGTGGAATATGGTGCAGAAGATTCCCCAGATCACCAAGGAGACAATCTTGCGAATGCTTCCAGATAAAAACATTGAAAGAAAAAATAGATAATGATACGAAAATACTCCCAAAAGTCAGTTCCACTTGCACTTATTTAAAAAAATTCTAGCTCCAAAAGTTTCACACACAGTTACTTTTCGATAAATGACTGGAATCACTTCAAAGTTGACCAACGAAGAGAATTTTAGTTGCATTAACACATAATGCAAAAACTATCACAAAATACGTTACCAGGGGAGGCCACAAACTCTCAGTGCAACCCTCATATGGGTCATGGACATCTCTCGTTCGAAAAAAATTAATTAAGAAATAAGAATAAAGCAATAGTACTGAACATGCCGCTTACTATGGTTGTTGGTTTTTCTCATCATCAAATAATGTTACTGAATCTCGAAACGATAACCAAATCCCACATTCATTTATATGCTTATAGGCTTCCCCTTTCATGATATCGCCATCGCTGGATAAGATGATGTACAATAGTCCATCTGTAGTGTAATATGTGTAAAATTGAGATTGTGAGATGTGATGTTGCATGATTATGAGGTATACATATATACATGGTAAATTCACTCTTAGGTTTCATTGAAAATGAAGAGCAAATATCACGGAGAATTTCATAGCATATTTTAAATTTATTGTCTTCAACCCCAAGGCAATATTGAATCGACGATGGTACAACGTTGAAATGAGACAGGTCTCAACTGGCTGTTTATCTCGTGCGCCATTTTATAGGTGAACTACGTTAATAGCATCTCGTCAAGTTCGCAATCCTCCGAAGTTGCTTCTTAAATCCTCCCTCCAGGAGCAATTTAAATGCATGCCGAGATGTAAGAAAAGTATCCCGGTCCAGCGGAAGCAAGATGACACTGGAATGATTGCAGTTACATGATGGTAGACTATCCTTCACTCCGCGTATCATTACGTGTGAATCAATGAGATACAGTAATCCCTCGTCAATCGCGGGGGTTACGTACAAGAAAAACACCGCCGTTGGCAAAACCGCGGTTGGTAAAACCCATTGCTTATGGGAAATAGGAGGTTAGGGGAACCCACTTT